GACAAGGCCCATCAATGGCTTGCGATTCACCACAATCTCATTTAATAGCGCAGTTTTCCGAAGTTCCCATTACTTCTAATAACCTCAAAAAAGGGGGCTTAATACCAGTCAAATAATGTTAACGAATATGATATAAAGGATTTGGGATGATCCATATTAGAAGCGCTATATCACATGGTTGTTTCCCTTAATATGGACTGAATAAACAGATATCTGGGCGATATCTGATTTCACTTCTCATCTCGACATTCATGCAACGTTCCGCAAAGGTGTGCTGTCGTCACTAGTCCTGTATTTTGCTATAAATGAACTGAATTCTCAAATAATCTATGAGATCGTTCACTGGAATTTTTTGACACACATTTTTGAACGCGAATTAGATTAATCATGACTTCTTTAAGCGAATTTATACAGCTAAAATTGCTCAATAATGACAGATGACTGCAAATCGCCTTCCATTGTTCGACTAGTTGTGGTATACAGAAACTTGCAAAATTGTTTGAAGTTATATTTATCAATTAGTTAAGTTATTCTGAGCTTCTTCTCCCTCTCTTAGAGTCCAAGAGTAGCGACTGTGGGTGGAATGAAGGTTTAAGTTCACGCAAAGGTGACCTAACCTCCTCTTTTCGATTTAGAATCCAGAAGCATGGCGCTATATACGTATGATTTAGGACTTTCGATTAAAGAAATGCCATTGTGTAGCCTACATCCATCCCATTTAGGGGGCTAACGCACTGAAGAAACTAGTGGGAACTCTAATGCCGGCTAACTGTAAGATAATGTCCCCCTTTCCGGTCGACTTCATAAGGTGCTTAGCCAAACTAGCGCCGTAGTCTCCCACCATGTAGGCACCGAAGGTGGATTGGAACGTAGTACTAGTTCAGCGCCTACACTGGCTGTAGACTCGGTTAACTCTGACTTCGTCACTGTCGAACACTTTGTCCATCTATTCGCCGCTGAACCTTATATTCCATCAGCCTTCTCGTTTTACTCCACGTCCCAGGTGCGCAAGAAGTTCAACCCTCAGATGGTTGGCGTCTGACTCGAGACTGGGACCATTTCCAGACCGTGGAGACCAATCGACTCGTCGTAGTTCAATCGATAAAGAGTGTCTCGGAATTGATCCTTTTTAAGCACAACAAACATATCACATATTAAAAAAGTATCTTCCGCACTACTCCTAAGGCCGGCAGCCATTTTCATGATTCATTACTAGCGACTGTAACGATTCCTACGTCCGATTGTCGTTACCCGAACAGCCGAAACTAAATATAGTAACGACCTCATTAACTTCCATGCAATAGCTCTTACGTTTAAGACTAGCTTTCACGGTAGGCTCTAGATTCCAATAATGATATTATAACCACCTGAAATGGCTCTGAACTTGTTCATGCGACTAATCGACTGTTATTTGTTTTCGAATCGAAGAAGATAGTTTCCAGATAACTCTTCGTTAAGCAATTTTTCAGAGAACTTGTATGAGGTTCGACCATTGGTAGAGGTGGTGGCCAACAAACGCACCCTATGATTAGGATATGGCAGTGTGGGTACTGTAAATGCCCTATTGCAGTCTGATCGCTGCACTACTCTGTTTTCACACAAGTAAGTCTGCTTTTATCAGAGTTAATATTCCTGAAATCTGTCCAAACCATTTATTCCAGACTTTGTTCATTCCCAGCGTCTTTACACACTTCCACCGTTGGAGGGAAGTCCAGGTAGGTGTAGCATATTCAGTTTGTGCCATAAAATACGGGTTCCTTGTTTCGTAAAGTAACTGCCAAATTGGCTGCTTTCATAGTCCGCCGGCCGGCCGGCCGGCACGCGCGCAGGCACGCCGGCCGGGCGGCGGACTATGAAAGCAGCCATTGACTGATTCGTGTGGGTTTCCTAAGGTGGTAGACCCTGACTGTAAGTTCTGTAAAAGAGCATACAATATGCACATATGTATATACGAACATTCAGAGGTACAATCGTTTGCTGATTTTTGAATTTTCAGCTTCTGGCCGATCTTCTGAATTGGTTCCATCGAGCAATCCAAGAGGCATTTTTCACTACAGTGATACGGACAACACATTCCAATCCAACTTCAAGATTCCTGACTTTGAAACGGTGAGTTTAACGGTGTTCAAAAGAAGGAAAGTTTGACAGGATAGGTATTTCATATTAGGCTGATGCATAAGTTTTTTTTTCACCGTTTTTGATCCTTCCGCATTTTGTTTGCATGGATGTTGGTAGTTTTCCATCACGTATGCGTGAAGTGAGCATGATACTCTTCCATCACTCTGGCTATCACTGGCCGACCCTGCATGTGCAGGTCACAGTGCCGTTCAAAAGTTCGTAGTTCGACACAGAGGTTACGGTCAGAGAGGCACTCGACGACTTCTTCAAGTCCAGCCCCGTCCCTCTGGGAGGACAGAAGCTCCAGAGGGACGGGACGACAAGCTGCCTGAGCGTTAGCGTCGAGCAGCGGGTGGTGATGGTGCATACCCCTAATTTTTGTGCTGGTTTTCTATTGAGATAATTCCAAAATAGTCGGGGAAAAGAATTTATGCATTAACCTAATATGAAATCCCTGCAGCCTTGAAGAATTCCCCTCTTACCATTAAGGGAGGTGGTAATTCCACAGCCGTGAAAACATAACTTCACGTCTTGAAGTAGGACATGCCCCCGTTGAGGTCATGGTTTTTCGAGCTCAGATATACCACGTAGGGAAATGTATTGAAGTTTGTTCCAGCTCGACCCTATGCAGTTGGCAAGCGAATTGATGAGCGCAGCAGCAAAAGCGGAAAATAAGCGGAAAACCATTTCGGGAATCAACTTACCGTTACCATTTGCTGGAAAACCACTGAATTTTCAGGTGATTACATTCTCCTTTTGGTATTCATAAAATTCGCTGCCCTGAGGAGCCATAAGCCATCCATTTTTAAAAATGACAACCTACCAACTCATTTTCAGATGACAGGAGAATCCCAAAGTGGTTTGTCCTTTACTGAACCAGGAGCCAGAAATGATGATCACTCGAGCAATTTGAGCCCTGAAGCAAAGGAGGCTTTCCAAAATGCAAAACGGATCTGCCTCGAATCGTCCTCAGCTTCTTGTGATGAGGTCTGTGGTATGCCCTTTGGAATGACTTCTCGAAAGCGGACGTAGGGCCCAATTCACGTTTTGTAGGCTCTGGACACCTTTCACAGACTCAAGTATGGCGAATCGCTTCTCAGGGTCAACCCCGAACCTTACATTGCTGATGACGATCCAACGACTTCGTTTGCAAAAATGCTCGTGCCAGCTCTCGGAGAGAAATTGGAGGAGCTACAGAATGTAAGCTACAGTACCCTGCAATCCTGTATGTTAATTTTCGCTTGTGTCATTATAGGAGTCCCGTGGATATCCATCAAATGAAAGTGGCTCATCCGAGTCGCGAGAAGAGAAGGCTGATGATGACGATGCTGGTGGTGACGAATTCCGACGTTCTCCCACATATCGGACACATCCTCCTATCCGGGAACATGCTCCTATCCAAAATCGCCATCCTTTTTCTAATGTACAGTATCGTTTAAGTAATAGTGGATCACCAATGAGAAAAATTCAGGCATTTCTCAGGCGGATATCGTAATGATAGTTTTGTAGATCGTTTAGATAATAGCGTAAACGTTAGTATAAACGTCTGCCTTCAAGGAGTGTAATTTTTTGCCATAATCCGCTCTTCGACTTAGTTGCTTAAGGAATCGTTTGAGGACATCATCACTTTGACGTACTGATGAATCAGTCAGACTTATCAGTATGGTCTGGTACAGATGTGCGGACGGTAATACGACCATATGCCTTTAAAGAAGATTCAAAAACACCTAATTAGAAGGTTCTTCAATTCTCAACGGTTGTCGGTAACTAGAGAAGAGAAATGAATAAATCGACACGTCGACTATGTTCCATTGTCTACGGCCTCTCAGTCTGAGCTCACCAAACTACAGGGCGCAAATCAGTAGATAAATATTTTTCAGCAAATCATGTGGGGTATTAGTTGCACAAGGCTATTCTCGGAACAAATGCTAGCCATAGCCGGAAGGTGAAAAATCAGAGAAAAAACTGGTAATGGTTCGTTAGAACCGAAAGACACATGGGAAGCTCAACCGCCATTGTGATTCTGAATGTTAACGATATGCAGGCTGCAACTGCAACGGCAACTGACAATTGAAACCTCCACTTTGAGTTGCACCAGCACATTCCGAAGGCCATCTCGATTCTTTCAAAAGTTGCGCCCGCATAAACAATCAAACCCTTGGCCTGCCTGTGCACCTCTTTCTCATGCATGTTAAAGTTTACCGTATACGAACTGGTAACCATTTTGAGTGAATAGACGTAACAATTCCTCATTACAGAGCCATACAGGTTCCCTGACCTGAAGACCCTTCCCCTCAGCAGCTTTTTAGATAATTGGCCTCAGAGATAGTGACTAGTGCTCACCTACAATCGCACAGACATTTGGTAAAAAAAGCATCACCGGCCTCGCGGGCGTATCAGTCAGGCGCCGTTCACCTCTGCGCCCCGTACAACGCGTGGGTCTAATCACATCGTATAACACGGAGATTCTCAATTTTTACTTTTGGAATCAATTCAGAAACCATTTTCAGCATTATTACTGCCATTGGAAAGGGCATCATTTTTGGATGAATTCAAACCCACTCGGCATACAGGAATATTTTGCGTTCAGCTGTGTATTGGAGCGAAACATCAACGATCATGTGTTTTTCTCGGATTTTCTTGGATCTTAGAGAGCTCCAAAAAGGAAAGGGCGAAGTGGAAGGGACAAAAAGGGGCCGCTGGCTATGCTGGGACCGAAGCATAGCAGTTCCTTTCTTTCAAATGGAAATGCCTTCGTTCTTTGATTATACTTCCTTTCAGAATGTAGAGCTGTAAAATTGCATTTCGATCAATAACTGGATGGGCAACTATGTTTACAAGTAAAGCGGAACGTAAACAGAGATCAATTCATCGTTAGAGAAAAAATCCATGTGCACGGTTTTATTGGAATCGATCCGACGGAAATGCGCCTCGCGTCGTTGCACTACCCCCTCCTTGAA